GGCTGTTGCAAGGAGGATACCATGTGGACAGTGTTACCAATTCCCAAGGAAATAGGCTCCAAATCAGCTTGACAGACAGTCAGAAAGGCAGCAGAATCATGAAAACCACATAAAATTGCAAAACACCCCAAGGTTGGCTGCCTGAAGCTCAAAGCATCCTCATCCCTCACAAGAGGACAAAAGCTGACCTAGGAACAAAAAGCTTAGCAGACTGGAAAGAAGCTGGACAGCAAATCTGTCAAGGCCCTGAAGAAATACTATCATTATACCTGGTGACAGCAGAGATGTCACACCAGAGCCTGAAGAAAAACATCTCTTTCGTAAGAGAAGGGAGAGACCTGCACAAAGGTTCAGCTCTGGAGGCAGCTGAGGTAGCAGCTTTTGCCATGCAGGCTGGGAATTGCCTTTGCCTCAGACAACTGAGCAGACAGGAGGCAGAGGGAGTTTTCACCAGCAGGCAATATAAGCAACCACGTAGCAGTTCCTGTAACATCCTTACAGACAAGTACTTGAAGCTCTGTCCTTCCCCAGCATGAGTCAAGACCACAAAAAGAGGTCTGAGCTTATCACCAAAAGAGCTTTGGTGATAAGCTACAGSAGGGCGTGTGATAAGAAACACCAGCCCATATCTCATATCAACACTCTTAGCCAGCACTGAACCTTATGGGCTCTCCTAGCAAGGCACCAACCTCAGCAAAGTGGCACCAGCTTTCTACCAGTCATGGGCACTCCTCTCTTTTCCCTGGTGCATCCTTGTCGCCTTCTTTTCCTCTCTTACTGTCAGCACTGTTTTGTGCTCACCTCCCCTCTCCCCTCAGCTCTTGCCTTTCTGCAAGCTGTCAGAAGAGGCTGCGTTACAAGGATTGCGCAGAGGCTCGGAGCACACATTCAAACCGGCCAGTGCTGCGTCAGCTGTGTCACACACCCTTGCCCAGGYTGTGGTGAGAAGCCTCTTCGAGAAGCAGCTCCCCACATCTCCCTTCCCTGGCCAAACAGAGCAGCACCACTAACTGAGCACTAGTAATACTGTGCCCTTAAAAGTTAGCTCCATTTTACTGCTGCTGGGCACTGGAAGTGGTTTAATAGATGTGATCAGAAAGTTAAGGTTCCCCTATTGAAAAGGGAAAGGAAGATTAAAAATTGGCGTTTGTTAATAAATACACTGACAACTGAGATGCATGAGCCTTACCTCCTACAAAGTTCACTCAGCTCAAATGCACGGGTGGGCATGGAGCAATTACATCCTGGCACCCTGTCTTGTAATTTGTCTGCCCACACTCCAGGATTTAATCTACCACCAAGCCGAGTATGGTAGTGATGCATCAGAGTATTGGCCTTTAAATGCCCTAAATGAGCTCCCTATAAGCTGGCTAGCTGCTTGTGCTTTGCCTCCACATTACACCCTCAGACCTCCTACAAAATCATAAACTAGCCTCTCACTGTTCCTTTATAAATCAGGAATGTGAATGGGTTTGAAATCACTTGAGCTAAGAAAAAAAGGCAAAAATATGTTGGCACCTTCAGTATGAAGTACATTGACCTCCTGAGCTGAGTTCCCTGAAAAGCTAACGGGCACGACCGCATAATTCGCCTCAGAGAATGAGAACAAATTTGAACCTTTGTAAAAGGTTAAAGAGCTAGCATATTTTTTTCTTAGATCGGATATTTTCACTAGAAATCTAATCGAACAAAATGAGCTGCTGCTTCAGATCATAGTACTCATATCTCCAATCATTTGATTTACCTACAAACCATCCTTATTCTTAATATTTTGAGTTAAGACGCCAAAACCGATTCTTCAGACCTCTAAGTTGTCATCTCTTGTCCTCCACTCATCATCTGTTATGTCCACTCTTTATCAGTACCTATCACAGGCATGCAGGGTTGAACCCAGTATTCCTTGTACAGTCCTACCTTGGAAGGMTGTCCCCGCTTTATTCTACAGTAAGTTTCTGCATATTCAGCCCTAGATCTCTGTTTCTGTCTGTCCCACTGAACATTTGAGTCCAAGATGATTTTTTCAGATACATTTGCTGTATTTTTGGACATTGAAACTTAGCTATTTTTGTGCTTCATCTATTTCCAAATTGCCATAAATTGTTTCTTTCGTATTACTCAGATGTATTGTTTCTTTTAAATAGTCATCTGCAATCATTATTCATGTGGTATTTCACAATAGCAAATACTGAACATATAAAAGTAGGGGTAGGCAGGTAATGACATTTATAGCCAAAGAATTGTTTGGAGAGGAGGAAAACGGATTTCCCCACTTTGGGTTACCACAGTTCCCTGTTCAAGGCTGATTTGACAGCATGGGCTTGACTCCAGATCTCACATCTGATGATACATGCTCCTAAAACACACATTAAAGGAATATATGCAACTTCACCTCCACTAGCATATTATCAGCTTTATGGGTTTATGTTTTTTTTTTTTTTGGACAAGAAATTACATTCTAGTACTGGACAAAATTTGATTTGCTGCTTACAGTGTGTTTTTCTCACCTGAAGATGTCAGACAAATGAATAAATTAAACTTTGATAAGAGCCAGCAGCAAGACTTTTAATCAAAGGCCAATGAATAACATTAAGTGCATTTTGGCTTGTGCTCTAGGATTACAAAGTGAACAAGCACAATTTCTAGTCTCCCCAGGTGTGTCTCAGCAGGCACTTGATTAGAGAACTATCTGAAAGTAAGAAAAAAAATTAGGAAAAAAAAAGATCATAACACASTATATCTTACTTCAGTTTGAACACATGTAACTGAAGTAATTTTAATTCTGAGTAAGAGGCATAAAATGTAAGCACAGCCATACTGTGTCAGGCAAAAGATTTAGTTACTCTCATGTCCTTGTTGCTGACAGTATGTGGTAGCAGATGCCTTTGGAAAGGATTTAAGAAGCAAAAATAAAAAGACACACTGTATTGCTATTAAATAACTCCCCAAAATATTTTCCTGCTGAAAGTTTACCCATCTGAATAGATGCAAACATTTAGYACAAGATGCCATGCAGAGGAGATGCCCAGCTTACCAGCAGGGTGTATATGGCACCAGCCCTTCTTGCTCCTTTGAGCAATCTCATTTGCTGCCTTTCACCCTGGCCAGACTTTCTGTTGGAGCAACAGTGAATTTCCCTTTTACCTCTCCTGCCTTCTTAGATTTTTCTGGACCTCTTCTGAACTACAAAATAGCTTCTCAATGTGTTCTCTGCTGGTTCAAGGCACAATATTATTTCAAAATTTCACCCTATATATTTTGGCTTCCCCCACAAGACATATTTAAGTCAATGTTTCATACACTGGAGAATCTAGAGGAACATTTTAGCATAAGCCTTTGACATAAAGCATTTTCCCAAACAAATTGTTTGACCAGTTTGATGCAAAAATCTACATTCCTTTTAGTTTTTCTTTATCTTTTTTTTTTTTTTTCCACAAGAGACTTTGTCTCTACTTACTTTWTTTTCCATTGGCAAACAACCTTCCTGATCAGTACACTATCTGGGAGAGCTCCACCATGAATCAGAAAGAAAAACACTAGAAAAAAAAAAGCAAGCAAAGAAAACACACAGACGGGAATCTTAGTATCAGAAAACTTGGCAACATTTTCCTTAAGTGTAACCTCAGTGGGCAGCATGTAATGGTGCTCCCCTCACTTCCATTAGCTTTAAATACTTAAGACTTTCTTCATTCACAAACTTTTTCTGTATTTCTTTTTCTACTTTTCTTTCTTTTGTGCTGCAAAAACTATATTAACCAAAAAAAAAAAAAAAAAAAAATCTGCATTTCTGGGACCCGAACTAACTATTCCAGGAGGAAACTGCAAGGAGGAAGGAAATAAAGTAGTAAGACCCAGTTACAAATCCTTCCCTGAAGTAAACAGCTGTGAGCCATTTTCAAACCTTTCTAAACTACATTATTCAAGGCGGTATTTCCACCACAACTCAGAGTCTCGAGGCTGTGGTTTACGCTGGAAATGAAAACATTGACAGGGTGGTGGGTTAGTCACCTCACTTGAAAGAYGTGTTACATCCCTGCAGCCATCAGCAGGGTGGGGACCTTCTAATGTGGCATTTCCTTGGTGGCGTAATGCACACATGTGCCTGGGGGCTCTAAGCAGTGGGCAGCAAAGTGATGACGACCAGAAAAGACAGCAGCCCTGGGAGGTGGGACAGGCAGGGCTGTGGGCAGCAGATAGAGAAGCCAGCTGAGCCAACCCTGTTACCACTGAGTTGGCTCTGGGCTTTTTCTTTTGCTAACAAGCTCCCTTCTGCTAACAGTTACTGTACTAATTCCACAAGTGGGAGGTTTGGTCTGAGGATCCCAACCATCTAAGGTCCCAGAGGGAAAGCCAACATGATTCCGTATCACAGAAAGCTGATCTATATAAAAATAATGATAAAAAAGTCTGATAGTACATATAACATTGATCTAGCTGCTATGTGATGCACTCACATGCTAGCAAATACCAAATTTAAATTTCTTTCTTCAACTTCAGTTTGACTTTCATCTTATATTTGGAAATTATTTACACCAAACTCAGACATTAATAACCCCGGTTTCAATGTGTTTCTTTTATWCTTTTATTATTATTATTATTATTTCCAATTTGTCATCCAACTAGAGTGTCCAAGTTCAGACAAGTAAAACTAAACTAGGACCTTGAAGGTGCGTTTTCCAGAACCAAATGAYTTGATGTCAACAAACCACTCACAGAAATGACACCTGATAGACTCTTGCAAGATCCTCTGTCAAATTTTACCCAAGTCTCCTCGGGAAGGAGCATCATAACAATCCTGCTCAGCAAGGACAAGGAGGCACATCACAGTGTGTTGATAGCTGGCGACCACAGTAGCTTGCTGAAGGTGCCCTCCAAGAGGAGGAAAATGGCTAATATCTCTGAAACTCTTTTGGGATCTTCACAAGGACCCAACCAAAAGTTGTGGTGATCCAAATCTCTGCTGGCATCCACTTTCCAAACAGTCCTGGGATAGATTAATATCAATATCCAGTCTAGGAAAAGAAGATTTATGTGTAAAAAGAGGTAAAGAGAGTTGTCTCATTCTGGTCTTGGATGGGTTGCATCCTAGCGCGGGATGGCACAAAGCCTGTATGGGTGGGGCTGCAGGGTGCCCCCCAAAATGGGCTCTGTGTTGATCGTTGTCACTCCCTCAGGGAGCTGGAAGGTGAAAGCCCGCAGCAGGTTGGCAAAGAAAATGAAGAGCTCAGTCCTTGCGAGATGCTCCCCCAAACACACACGGTGCCCTGCAGGAAGATGAGGAGAAGGTCAGTGAGCACCCAGGAATATTTTCATAATCACTTTGTTCATTCTCACAGTATTAAAGAGGAGCTTTCTTATTTTCTTTCATGTTAGTACTATAAGAGAGATTATTAGCAGCTCTAACAAACACAAAGCACATTATTTCTCAGGGAACAAATATATAAATATATATGTGTGTGTGTATCTATGTACGTGTATATATATATATATACACAGATGTGTATATATATATATATATATGTATATGCATATATGAAGAATATTGCAGACGAAACGTCTGGAATACTGCAAACTACAACTGCCTAGAAAGTTCAGGAGCGGGGATGGGATTCCCACCTCAGTGTACTAAGAACCATTTGGGGTCTAACATCACAAAAAAAAACATACGCCTTGGCAGATAGAAGTCAGCACTCTTCTTAAAAAGATCCATATCTAACAGTTATCTGAGGAAATATGATACTGTCCCATTTCTTTATTCTTCATCTAATCCACTGGTTTGGTTTGACTGGTCAGTGCATTTACCTGCTGAAAATGGTAAGAAAGCTTCTCGATTTATGAAGTTTCCCTCCTTATCAAGGAAGTGGCCAGGGTTGAACTGTCGAGGTGTCTCCCACTGCTCAGGATCATACAGGACAGAGGCTATATTTGGAATGACTATGGTTCCCTGCAAGGAAGAAACTGTTGGTTAAGTTCTGCCTGCTCTTCTCTCACCCCTCAGTTTCTGTCTGGTGCTTAAGACTGCTGTGTGTTGCCATTTCTTTGCAATGTGCAAATAYCATGTGGTTAGAAGTCCATTTTCCCAGACAGAAAATGGCAGTCTGGGGACATTTTCTTATTTGGAAAGTCCAATTCTCAACTCCGCAGCTACGTCAATGTGTGTTATTGGTACAACTGCATTGTGACCACGTCTGCTACTAGTTCTGACAGCACCTCTGGTAGGATTTGTTGATATTTGGGTCCCAGCTTTGGAAACTCACTTTCAGGCTTAAGAGAAAGGGAGAAATCCAGCAATCCTTGCAATATTTATCACTTCATTAACAACAACCTCTGAATCMTTTTATTGTTAGTCCTTCAGGCCTTCTCCCATCTCTCCCCTGCTCACAGTGTTTCAGGGTTATATCGACCATAGTTTATATATAGAAAATAGGTTATATATCTGGAATAGAAGCTGAACATCCCTCTGCTTAAGAAAGCGTGGAGGCTGAAAACGTTTCTGTACCTTTTTGAGGGGAAAGCCCAGCAATGTTGTGTTCCTCACACACACTCTGGGTATGCCGACAAAGACAATGTTGCTGAAGCGCTGGATCTCGTGAACCACGGCGTTTGTATAGGGCAATTTTCTTCGATCCTCATAGGAGATTAACTGGGAAGGTCCTAAAACAGCATCCAGCTCCTTCTGCACTTTCTCTGTGGAGAAATATGCACCATTTTAGGTGGGAAAATGTGTAAAATATTTTAACTGGCCTCTTTTCTTGGAGCAATGGGAAAATCTAGTATCTCAACAAAGCCCATAAAGTTGACAACCTATGGTTTAAAATATGATTTGATATGATTTAATGCCTGAGTTTAATATATACAAATAAAACAAACAACCAAAAGAAAATTTAAATAAAAGGAAGTACAGAGTCACAACCAGGATTGTAGTGTTTTTATATAAACTCTGACATTTATCTCGCTGTATGTTTTTTTACTGTATTTGGAGTCATTTAGCCCCAGATTTTGAAGGTATTTAGGGACTGCTTATTTTAGCTTATCTCAAAATCAGAATCTCATTTTCAGAATCGATCTAAATGCCTTGGCTATTACCTTCCCATGCCAGGGAGGAGCTGAGCAGAGGCAGTCAGAGTTACAGCAACACTGAACAAACAACACATGAATCAGCTTAAAACCTTGGATGAGATCAGAGGTTCAGTGACACGGCCTTTAGGGTGGCCTCGTCCGAGATGGGAATCAGGCATCTCCTTCTCTTTCAGCACCTGAGCACAACAGAAAGGCCACCAGCTCCAGGGATACCTGYGTCTCCCTTAAGCTCCGGCCATATCCTTTCTTTTCCTGACCCAGCTGTGACTGGAGAAACTCAGCCTGAATATACAGAGATATTCACTGGAATTGGTGCTAATGAGCTGAGCAATCTCTTTTGCAGCATTAACGACAGACAGACATTGTGTAATGCCAGCAGTTCTTGCCYGAGAGCACCATTATGTGTATCAGGCAGCCACAGTCCTCTCCTTAAGCTTCTTTCCCTATTTCTGCAGTTTCTCTGTTCCTTGCAGATATTTCACATTCACCTTTGTTTTCTCCTAAGGTTTGCTTGCTGCTCTGTGTACAAACTGCAACAAACATTGCCCACTATTTAAATATCAGGCGCTAACACCCCTGACTTGTTACATGGTTCGTCACATGCACCACGTGTTGTACTGAAACCCAGAAGTCAGCCCAGATCATCGTGTACTCCAGGGTGCCCCTTGCCTGGGCTTGCATGTGAGGCACCTGGCAAAGGTAGGAAAGAACCATTGAGTTTCTGAATCTGCATATGCCGAACTACCTTTAGTGCATCTCCTTACCTTACTCTTTTTTTTTTTTTTTTTTATTCCTTACAGGAAGGATATATAGAGAGAGAGTTGTCTCTGCCAGGACAACACAACTTCCCTACGGCATTCTTCAGCCCTGTGTAAACTGCCAAGGTTAGACAAGGCAGCAGCGTAAGGGTGAGTTGTAAGGAGCGGGTAGGTCAAAGGTGTAGCAAACACAGCAAGGTGTGTTAGCACCCCTCATGCATGAAACAGTCAGACAGGACTTTCGTTYGAGCTTCAACATCAGGCATCAGATTAGATCAGAGACTGAGACTCTGGGCTTTCTCTATGCTACAGGCTTAGCATGCTGTTTTCAGTGCTTTGGGAGAGTGAAAGCCAAGCTCAACTGGTGGCTTTTGTACCTGCACCTCATTCTATTTAGTCATCATTAACATTTGTAGTAGCCACAGTATTTCACAGGAAATCTCACCTTGGATTTTAGGATGCACCACCATATAGAGCAGCCCCCAATACAAGGTTGTGCTTGAGGTCTCTGATCCACCAAGGAAAAGGTCATTTATAACATACACCAAATTGTCTTCATCATACTTGGGTTTGGGCCCATCTTTAGACTGTGGAAGATGATAAAAAATTGAAGTTAAAAAGCATAGAAGTTAGGGCATCATCTGCAAGTGTGACAGTTATTATTTCATGATTTCTGTAGGTGTCATGTACAAGAAGAATATTCAAAATTACAGTTATTACCAGTTTTGCAATTACAGTTATTGCAAAAACCTGTACCACTGAGATSAGAAAAAGCTGCACCATTGCCTCTAAAATGATTATTTTAGTAAATCATGTAACATTGCTTCAGACCCAATGAGCAAGAGAACTSCAGAGCTTGTTAGCCAACATTATGAGAATGCGGTGGGCTCCCTGGAAGCTTATGAGCAAAGGTAGTAGCTACATGGACTTTAGCTACCCTAAGAAAGAGGAGTTTTCTTTAGTTCCTAAAGGTACCTTAAAATGACTGACTTTGAAGCAGAAACTCTGGTGCCCTTARCATAATCTCCCTGACTTGTTAACCCCTCCTGCTATGGAAAAGATATTTGGACAGGGTAGAAGAACAGTGCACTGTCAGTGCATTATGTCATTGAATGTTTCTGAGCAATTATTTCCAAGTCCCCCRATTTAAGTCTAAGTGACATGTCACCTGGATCCCAAACTGTGGAAATTAGAGGTAAGAGAAGACATAAAAGGCTTGGGACCCTCAAATACATTCTATTTAGGACCTACTATTGGCAACGCCTGAGGAAGTGGGTAAATAATAGGTGATACCTAAAGTACAGATTCCAGCATTGGTCAAATGATTGAGCAGGCTGGAAATACAGAGGTGCAGATACTGAAAGAGACTGGAGCTGGAAGGATTACTCTCTTTTAAATTCCAAGAGAGTGAAGAAAGGCCTGGAAATCATTTAAAGACTAGAAGATCTCCTCAGATTAGGACCTAAAGATAGAGCCTCCCATCAAGAGCAGATCTTGTTCAAAAAGTTTTCTTCTTTCCTTAGAGAGATCAACATCATGCATCAGCTAGAAGTGATAGCCAGCATTAGGATGCACAGAAAGTCATGTAGAGAAACATGTCACCTATTTCTGGGCAATTATCTGTGCACGTTTATTTAATCCTGTTGTAAGAATGAGGCACCTTGCTCTGAAGTGGTCTACCAAAGTTTTCTAGGCTGAATGTGGAAACAGTCTCATATTTACTATGGGAGTTAAGTGCATACTTAGATATTTATGGAAAGCAGATAATGGCCTATCARTTCACCCCCTTATGTAGTTTATGGTAACTCATTTGTGTAAACAGATCATAAAACCTGATGCTTTTCTGGAAGACATGAGTTAGTAAGCTCCCAGTTGCTGTATTCACATTAAGAAACCTATGAAATGCAAGAAACTATAATATAAGGGAGTTGATTGTATTATATATTGGCCTACTTAGATATAAGCCCCATGAATGTATGATCAGGCACAAAGGTCACTTACTTTCTCCATTTCAGCTAGGTAAAAGTCGATGAAATCCTGTGGTTCATTTGGGATACCTCTCTCCACATGTCTCCTGATCTCCTTCCTTGCAAAAGAACTCAGGACATCATAGCAAGACAAGGCCTTTTTATGAGGACCAGGGAGGTGGCACATCAGCCAGGGAAGGATTTCATACAGCTGTGGAAGTGACATACAAGAGGTAGCATGAATTGTCTGTCAGTAACAAAGATGGTTTAGAAACACCAAAAGGCTGAGCTGTTGTGTCTGGAAATATTGATACTGAGGTGAAAAAMCTATAATTTCTCTGAGTTCATTTTCGTCCTTGCGGGAAAATACTTTATAATTTTGGCACACTCCTGAATCTGGGGTCCCAAGAAGTGCTGCCAACACTCTGCTCATGCCAGAAGTTTGTTTGACTAACACACATCACTAGAAGACCCTGCTTCTGCACATGCTGGAATCCCCAACTCCCTCACAGAATCGAAATCCAGCCTTCCTTCTGCATGGCTACTAGAAATAACAGGATAGTTGGGTAGTTCTCTCAGCCAGGCAGAAGGATGAAAATTTAACTTTCTATTTGCATTTGTCAATTGCTCTGTGTTTAGGGAAAACAGTCTTGCATCTGCACCTTAATTTTATGGATATATTGGGAAAAAAAGAGCACATTATTTACTTGCCTGATGAATGAAGCTGCCTGCAAATCTGAATAAATTCTCTGTAGCACTGATGAGCTCATGGAAGGTTTTGTCCTCATCAGAGAAGTGATATCCAAAAACCAGAGCACAAATTACATTTGAAATAGAATGAAAAAGAGGGAAAGAAGGATCCACAGGTTTTCCTGTAAAGACAGTAATTAATATTCACTCTTAATGCTTTCTTCAGTTGTTGCTTATTCATATGGGGCAAGATACTATCAGAGATTATGTAAAGTACACTTTTTATCCAGCTGGGGTGGGAAGGGAAATGACATACGGCATTAATATGTATTCTTGAATATAAACAGTGTTAAAGCAAAGCACACTGTTAAAATATCAGCTAAGATCCTTTCTTGTGAAATGACATTGCACAGCTAAGATCCATTGGAGGATGTCATATAAAATCTGCTGTCATCAGGTGAGTGGGAGAAGTCAGGCAATATGGAAGGCTACCACAGGAGCTAGATTRACTGAAGACAGTGACAGAAATGTTCAAAACCATAAAAATCTTAGGGAAAAAAAAATGAAAGACTTGGGGAAGGTTCAAAAGGCAGAATAAATAAGAATTGTAAAATACAGGAAATAATAAAATAATGAAGGTGTCAACTGTTAACAATAAACCATCAGATCTTTGTCTGAAGATTTTTAATAGATACAAGACAGATGTCTGTCAGAAATTATTTGGGTAGAAATAACCAGGCTTGAATTCAAGAATGAACCAGTTAATATAGTGAAGTCATCTCCCTATTTTCTTTGATTTCTTCTGCCAGAAGTTACTTAAACACTAAAATATCCTACACCATTATGGGAGAATTCCTTAAATACACCCCCAGAATCTTAACAGATATGTTTGTACATATTTTTTAAGCTCTATACTTTGTTCAATGAATCAGCTGACAGTTTATACAATCAGACAGTAACTCAGTAGTGTTAGGCTCTCTCTGTTTTCCCAGAGTTGGGTGAGATGACTAAAAAGAGACATCATCTAGCTGAAAARTGTTGATATCATCAGCTGGAGAAACTGAGAGAACCAAGTCATATCACGAGACCTCCTTGTATTTAGAGACTGACATCAGGCTCAAGAATGTCAAAGCTATTAAGGTCTAGGCTGGAATTTAGAGAATTAGAGAGCTGATTAAGTTCTACCATACTCTAGGTTATCTATTATGGCCAGTCTGAGGACTCCCTGGCTATGCAATTCAGTGACATCATATTGTAAACACAGTTAAATACAAGTCAAAAGAGGAGGGATTTCTGAAGTTTCCAACTTCATTAGGTTCAGACACAGCTTTTTAGGAAAGAAATTTGCATGCCTGATACTGGGCTCTATCTGCACTTCCTTGGATACCTCAATCTGGACTCATCCTTGCTCTAGAAAGGAGTACTSTTTGCATAAGTTTACGTACTGAAGAGATGAAGCCAAGCTTGGAAAACATCTAATTTCTTAACAGAAACATACCTTTGAGGTTGGCAAAGAACTCCACCAAGTGAGAGGCYTCCTCTTGCACTCGATACTCCAGGCCTTTTTTCCCCATTCCTAGATTGCGGAGAGTCATTATTCCAAAGCGTCTCTGCTGCTTCCAGGAACGACCACTTGCCAGTATAATACCTGAGGATATTTCCTGACGTATTAATATTTGTCATAGACATGAACCATTCGTTTCAAAATATATTATAAAATACATAGAGTATATTGGAGAATGCACTGTAATACAAGTATATTTAGGAGAAAAAAATATCAGTGACCAGAAACCTTAGTGAAATTTGCACTTAGTCTTTGAAAARAGAAATCTAAGGGTGTTCTGACTGCTCCATTTCCTCATGTCTTCAAAAAATAATTTAAGATGCCTTTTTAGGGATTTGCTTTGGCCAAGCCCAGGTATTTATGGTCAATAAAGTAGTAAACAGGTGAAYTTCTCTGGGGTGGAATTGCATACAGGAGCTGGCTATGTTTATAGGGATGTAAATTCAGCAAATGGGATSTTTCTAGGCAGATGATAAAGATGAGGATCAAAGCAACATTTGGAACCTCTGTCTCCYCTGGAAGAAAGATCACTCCCTTGGTTGTTAAATTGCCCGAGTGGTTACCTGAAGAGCCCTGTAGGTGATAGTTGACCTGGCCATAAACAAGCTGAGTTCCCTTTGGCATAACAGACCCAAAGGAAGGAGGAGAAAGACACAAAAGCTTCTAAAGTATTCTAAGGAGAAATGCAGTCTGATGTGACGAAGGCACCCTTACAATGAAAGGCTATTCATCAAGMATTTAAGAGTGTCAACTATCACAGCTATGAGACTTCTAGGGGAAGGTGTTATAAGTCTCTTGCTCGTGGTGGAAGCTATTTGGCAACTATACARTATATATGATTGCCAAACACATAAGCACACTTTGCATTAATGTAACAACACACAGCTCAATCGCACATCAGAACAGATTATTCTGTGAAGAAAGTGAGATCTGAAGTGATGACACACGGCCGAGCTCTGAGCTGACCTATAAACGACCTGATATGATGTTTTTTCCAAGTGTGAGAAAGCTCAGGACAAAAGTGACCATGGGAAACAGTTAACAAAGCTCACCTTTTCCTTTGGCCATTGCTCTGAAGAAAGGAGATACCATCCTCCCAGAAACATCTTCAGGGTGTGTGGTCATACCATCCTTCACTGCTTGAAAGCCATTCAATATGATCACYGGGGTCCACCCAAACCACAAAGTATATATGTTGCCATGAGTTTTTGCYAGCTGTAGGTGGAAAAGAAGGTGTCAGAAAAGCACAGATGAAATCTCACACATCTCAAACCAAAGATGAGCACACTACTGACTAGCCAAATGGCCAGCCTTGTGTTGATATCATCATCTCTATAGATATAATAGTAGCTGGCAGCACAAAAAAATAAAAAAGATTGTTTTAAAGGTTTTTTCTTAAGAATGGGTCTTTCAGCAGCCAGTTTTAATTACCTGAGGGAAGTGATTTTCCCTTTCAAAGCTTAGGCTACTGCAACATTGCAGAAAACTTGAAATTTTAGGTTGCATCACATTCAACATCCACATTTGTACCTCATTAATGCAACAGAAACACCCTGTACCTCTCTGGGGCTCTGTGCCTCAGCCAGCCCTTCCTTTGCAATAGGAGACCAAGTGATTAAACCTGCTTCCTCTGAATGCTCCAAGAGAGGAGATGCAGCCAGGAATTAAGCCCTGAAGTGGCAGTGGGCTGCAGTTGAGTGAAGGCACTGYGGTTTCCTCAGCCTACTGAGGAAAACATTGCCCAGTGGAGCTGCCAGAAACACACAGTGCTGAAGCAGGGRGAGATGTATGACAGAGGAAATCCACAGGAAAGAAGAGCTTCCAGCAAGATTTGGATTCTGCTCCCACACACCCATGATAATAAAAAAGAGATGGTAGAAGATATTTAAGGTGCCACCAGAATTACCTCCACTTGATCACACTAGTCATTTGTTTCTCCTTATAATCCTTTGGATATTGGCTTTATCCTTCCCTTCATAGCATCACTGCCTGTYAGTCTGCATTGTGCACACAAAGATTTGTGCTTCAGAAAAGTGCTTCAGAAGTAAAAAAAACATATATGATGTGACCAACAATGGGGAGCCCCTCTTCAATATGGTATTCACCTACTGTAACCACAAGTTAGAAAACCCTGTCACCAAGTTTATTTGGTCCTTAAGGGCATCAAGTTCATCAAGTTTYCCATGAAGCTCTCATATTCCACATAAGAAGGCTATCTCACATTAGAAATCAAGTTGATCTTTATACGTCCATATCTTGTCTGTAACTCTCCTGAGTCTTAAAACTTCGCTATTAGTATATCAGTTTCTTTTAAGATGTTACCAAATTCACCAACTAGAAGTATCTGAAAAGAAATACCTCCATCAGAAGATCCCGATGAAACTGAAAGTTCAGGTGCACCAAGTTTCCGAGCAAGGGGAGAGGGGTTGGTCCAGGAGGCAGTTGCTGACATGCCTTTCTCAATTTGAGAAACTGAGCAATTAACAGAAAAATGACCAGGGCTACAAAAGCTTGGCTTATAGTCAGCATTACAGAGCTGCTTTACTAGCTTGCTTCTATCTAAAATARCGTACTAGCGTTTGGAAAAGTTGGTCAAYCTTCTTGCTCCACCAGTTCTCTCTGCAGACTGAGTTCTGAGGAGCCTCCGYTCCTTCCCTCCCTYTGTCCCTCCCCTTCTTTATCGCTGCCTTCCCTTGTCCTGCACTCCTTAATGTCCCCTACTGAAGTGCATCAAGCTGATCCCTAACCAAAGGCACACAGCAACCACAGTATAAARACGTGGAAGCACTTGAGCTCAAGCTACTTGTCCTGCAACCTGTGTTAGGAAACCGCCAGTGTGTTTTGGAAGGGTTGGTGARGAAGGGCATCAGGGGTGCGTCCTTCTTGACCACTGATTACAAATGAAACATCTGCCTTGGGAAGCCTGAAACCACGCACAGTTCATCTGTGTATCTCAAACTCATTAAATCCAGATTACATACAAGCAGTAAGTTAGATTTTCAGATTTCCCTGCCAGTAGGCGAAACGCAGGCGAAAAAACAGGAGGTGGGGACAGTGCATAGAAGTAGAAGGGTAAATTTTTACATGCAATTTCTGAAAACTGAAGTGTTCAGTCTATATTTTTCTACAGTAAGGCAGTAACAATAACAATTTAATCCAGTGAGGATTAATGACACGAAGACAACACTTAAAAGCCGCATTAAATAATCAAAATCAGAATATAAAAGTATGCTATTATTTAAAATTTAAAACTCTAAGTTGTCACCATTTTAGATTTTTGGAGTATGCAGCCTAATTAATGACTTCATTTGCCTTGCTTTAGTTCATACCTTTTGACCTGAATTTCAAAATTCTGGATGTTACGATCAGCGGTCAATAAGTTTACAGCACACATGGAATATCTGGTCTCTGCTAACTGAGAGATTGACATCTCATATGACATACAGAAAGGGGAAAGTAAGTAATTGGTGTCGGTTATCAGGGAATCTGATCTTGCATTGCAAAGAGAAAGCGTCTACACTAAAACTGAAGTACAAGTCTGAACAAGATACTGCCCTACCCTCTGCTGCATACATAAATGCAGTATTTTGCAAACTGGGCAGCATTAAGAAATGTGACTCAGTGATATCAATCCATCTCCTTCATCTGGCCAGAACTTTGCAGCTATTGTAGTTACATTCAAACCTGCTTTACACGATGAAGACAATCTGGAAAGGTAGTTCAGTTGTGACTCTATCTGCGCAAAACCACCAAGTGGTCCTCGTGGCGGAGCGTGTGGGAAGGGGCTGAGGTGGGTTTCGTGGCACTGCCAACACTGCTGTAAGTCAGACATAGCAGCTCACTGTGAAGCTGGAAATACTGCAACAGGAATCAACAAAGCAGAAAAAAAGTGTYTTCAAATCAATATGCTGAGTATAAAAATGAGAGAAAAATAATTTTGTGCAGATAAAGTCAAGAGGAATGCTGAATTCCATGAATCTAGTGAACAGACTAAATACAATTGTATTCATTTCTTGCTTGGTCAAAATCCTCTTGCTTAGTCTAAGACATTCCATACTTGGTATAACATTTTGACACCAGTGAATGCAATTCACTTTTTTTCAGACCTAAGTCAGACCTAACTTCTGACTAGTGTCAGAAGCAGGATGAAGCAAATGAGAAAATCAGTAGTTTATCCTACCAGATACTACCCCTGCCTGCCTTTATTTTTAGTTTCTCTGCTCTTCAAAGCCCATCTGTATAAACAGTTACTTACAACAGTGCCTGATATCACCAGACAAACTGTCTAGAAAAGAAAACCAGGCGAAATGGTGCCAGTGTTGGCACAGGCAGTTCTTCGCTCATGCCTCCTCTTCTGCACATACAATTGACAACATTTGCTGAATTTATATTTCAAGAAGGAAGATTCAAAAAAAAAACTTTCCCAGAGAAATATTTTTGTTTTCCTATGATTTTTCAATTTTGTCAGACTGCAGGAAGTGAAATATATAATTTCTTATCAGTTGAGTTSAAACTGAAACCCAGCCTTTAGACCTATCTGTTCTATGCATTAATTTCCTCAAAAAATTAATCATTAGTCAACTTTCTGAATTATGGCATTTCATTACAAGAATTATAAGACTTTAAAGTTTCATATTAGCCTTCCAGTCATCCTGGTTAAGAGCTGAGTAGAAACTAACTCTGTTCCAAGAAAAGTTCTTATCAAAAAGATAGCAACCCGCTTGGGTTGGACAGAGCAGTCCAAAAATGGATTCTGAAGTGAAAGAAGAGTTGTTTTTAATGGAAGCTATTAAGGAGCCAAATTTCAGTAAGACTTTTGATACATGTAAAAACAAACTGCAAAGTAGGTTTCACAAAGATTAGTATAATGCTTGCAAAATTAAAGCTATATGAGTAATGTGACAGCCAAACAAGCATGATCCTGATATCCTTGAGCAAGTAAATGTTTAATTTCAGCTCTTGGCCATCAATACTTATGTACTAAGAACACATTTGGTAAGAGGAATTAGGATTTCCAAAGCACAAGGACTGTTCACCCATGGGGAACTGACTGGCAAGCAGTTTAGATGAGGCTTCAATACACAGAAATAGAAATTATACAACACATCCCTACTGCATTTTAACTCATCACCTACAGTTACTGTCAGAAACTTGCAAAATTCACTAGCCTTACATCTGCTTAGTAACTGAATACTAACAACAGGGCTGAGGTGGTAAAAATAGAAAGAAAGAAAGAAGTGATGGATTTGGGAATTAATGCCCAAAATAAAGATGACAGAATGGTGCCAGATATCCCAGACCCTAACTGAGTCATAAACTTTTCTTTTAGAGAGGCTGCCAAGGAGTAGCTTGACATTCTCTGARTGAGATCACCACTGGATGATCCTCTGTGGATGATTCCCCTGTGAAATGGGTGAGTTTTGGATGAATTCCTTGGGATTCAAGAACATGCAAAATAGCTGAAACTTGTCTGTAATTTCCCTGTGACAAATCTGAGCATCAAATTCACTGCAAATAAAGTCAACCCAAAAGATTAGGAAAATCAACATGAAAACAGTGTTTAAAAAGAGGTTAGAGGATAAATTTTAAAACATGAGAGAAAAACAGATTTTTCATTTAACAAAATAACATAAAATCCACATTCTTACATCAGAATTCTTTTTGCCATTTAGTAGGTAYTGCATCATTGCAGCAAGTGATTAAGTAAGGATGTACAGACCTGTGTGAACAAAATTAAAAGTTCAAAGGCCACAAATGCTTTTCAGAGATACCCAAGACGAGCAGTAGCAAATATCTGGCTAAAACAGCAAAATACAATGCTAGTATTGTCAGCTGAAGCACTTTATCCTCTCAAMCCGTACCAGTGATTTCTTCACATCATTCTCAAGGACTGCCAAGCAGAAGGAAAGCAGTGATGACCAGGCTGGCAGAACACTTTTAAAAGAAGCTGAACAAACAAGCTCCACAAGAGACTCCCGTAGTTAAGCACCCGAAAGTGTGTGTCATAATATCTTGTCCTCAAAAGAAAAAGTGACATTAAAACCCAGGAAAATTACAAATAAAGGACAAATAGCTAGGTACATGTTAAAAGCTTGTAATGACCATACATAAAAATACTTTTATTGATACAGGAGTAGAGAAAATGCAGCAGAACTGAGGAAAGGTTATATTAAAATACAAACACAAGGATATCATTACCATAATATGCAAAACTGATAGGTAAAAAGCACTAGGGTATCACTGCAAGTGTGACAGAGAAACTGGATGAGGTAAAGTCCAAATAGAAATAGAAAATGACTGCTGTAATTTTCAAACTAATAATAACAACCCAAAAAAGCATTACATGGCAAAAGCAATTCCTCTACAATCTCAAAATTGCACAGATTTAAGAAAACAATCTCCGACATAAAACAGATCACATAGTAGTTATTTGAATTCTTTATTTGAAAAGATTACAGGTATTACAGGGCTTTTTAAGTAACTAGAACAAAAATAAGCTGAATGTGACACAGACTAATCGAAAGGTAAGCAAGGAACTGTATTCCTACATGCATTTTTAAAGTGTTCATGGAGATCTGCTCTTGACTCATTCCTTAAAGTGTTTTTCAATTACCTAAAACCATTGATTTAAGAAAAACTAAAAATGCTATCTATAAAGCTTCTAGATTTCACAAATTTTGAGAGAACAATGCAATTTAAGAGGGCAGATCACAGAGAGAGATGGCAAATATAGAGTCAGGTCAATATAAATATGCACACATTGTGCCTCAGTACAACCAAATGTAAAGCCACACAGCACATAAGGCACGTTATCCAAGTGGGAAGACCTAGAGTTAGATACAACATCTTGGGGCTCTGCACAAAGTGCAAGAGTCTTGGTACCAAACCTGCCTCAGCCACCTGCGGGCCAAAGATCGACGAGCCTCAGTGCCACTGAGTGAATGAATGATCATAAGAGGAGTTGGAGGACACGTATACATCAGCATGCCTGGCCAAGGGATTACAAACACATCCTGGAGAGATGTAAGGGAAAGACAAACACTGCAGTAGAGCAGAGGTACTTCCAAGGAAAAGAATTGACCCCAGAGAAGTCCCAGTCCCAGAATATAGCTCTGAGGATGGGATTCTGACAAGAATTGCAAGAGTATACAATTATAGTGAATGCGCAAGCTATTGAATAAATACTGCAAAACTAATGAGAACAATCTTCTCTGCCCCAGTTTTTGTTTTTAAACAATTTGTACGAAAGATACAGAACTATTTAACTTTTCTCAGCATTTTATGGAAGGGAAATAGAAAACAAGGAAAAGGTCAAGTTGATAGAAGAATCTCCTTCAAAATGTGGCCTGGGAGTTGTATACAAAGTGTATACTTCTAAAGAAGCCCTTTAAAAAAGCACAAGATGTGAACACTGATGTATAACTGAAATTTATTTTATATAATACAAATCATAAGCAATGCTTTATTTGCTACCCCATCGAGTATCTCAGAGTGCTTTATCATTATTAACTAGATTTTAGGTTTGCCAAGACAAAGATATCTATTCCTACRTATGATGGTAAAAAATGACACAGTGCTACAAGATCATTGATATTTAAAATGTGTATGTGTATTTATAGTGGAGYAGACTTGGTAATAAGACACATATTAATAACTCTATGTTTACAAGC